CCTTGTCTTGTTCCTGAATTTAGTGGTATGGCTTTGAGTTTCTCTCCATTTAATTTGATGTTTGCTGTTGGCTTGCTATAAATTGCTTTTATTATGTTTAGATATGTTCCTTGTATTCCTGATCTTTCTAAGACCTTTATCATGAAGGGGTGTTGGATTTTGTCAAAGGCTTTTTCAGCATCTAGTGAGATGATCATGTGTTTTTTTTTTTCTTTCAGTTTGTTTATATGGTGTATTACATTGACTGATTTTCGTATGTTGAACCATCCTAGATACATTCTTAGACACGGTTTTTTTTCAGTAACCGCAACTGTGTTTTGAACCTACTTGACTTGCCACCTGGTGTGACTGCAGGACTAGGTCTTGATTGTGGAGAACAGCAAGCAGAGTGAGAGGCAGGTGTGATCTCCTGGCTTTGCTCATCATTCCTGGTTCCCTCTCTGCATTCCTCATCCTTTGCTTCCCTGAGCCATGAAACTTACTCACAACTTGCAAAAACAATGTTCTCATCTCTTGCCCATACAATCTATCCTCATTTTAAGTACAAAAATACTGTGGTCTGTCTCTCTAGATTCTTGTCTATTTTTTTCTTTTCTTTTTCCTCATATGCTCTACAAAACCCTGGACACCTAACCTATAACTAAGCGTGCACAGAGCTTTCACTGGTTTGTTTGCTCCACCTGCCTCTTCCTGTGCTCCGAAGGACAGTGCCATTGCTGTACCCTTTCTGCTGAGCCCAAGAACCATTTCTCTTACTGAAATGGCTTTGGCTCTCAGTGGGTAACTTAGAGCTGCCTTGTCCCATAGTCAGGTGTCTTCCACAACACATCCTTACCCACACACTTTCTTCCCATTGCTGGGCCGGGAAGTGGGGGGTGGGAGGGGGGAGGGGAGTCCAATTCACAAATCTGCACGACACTGCTCCTTTGTGTCAGTTTACCTAATCTGTTTCAGAAAACTCCGTGGAAATTTATTATGTTCATTTCAATTGAGGAAGACACCAACAATTTTCATAAGTAATCTCCATTTTGAAAGATGTCAGTGAACAAGAACTTGATGCCATTCATTTTTGACAGTCAAGGTGGGTTAGGATCCAGGCTTTCTGTGAAGACCTGGGCTCTCTGCCAGCCAAGTGAAGCATCACTTGAGTAGAGCGCCTGTCTCACAGCACCCCCTTGTGGCCATAAAGCTCATAATCCTGAATTTTTCTGACCAAAAAAATCCAAGGCAACTGTAAATATGACTTTTTTTTTCTCTTAATTTTGGAGTAATTCCTTTTTAAGGGGGGGATTTATAATACAGTCATAACATTTCTCTCTTCCCTTTCTTCCCTTGAAGACCTTTCATATAACCCTCCCCACTCTCCTCACCTTTTCCTCTATATTGTTATTGCATGCATGTATGTATATGTATAAACACATACATATTCTTAACTATAACCTGTTCTGTCTGTACGATGTTACTTGTGTGTGTCTTTAGAGCTGAAAGTTTGGCACTTGATGACCAGTTGCTGTGCACTTTGCTTTTGTTGGCTTGGTCCCTGTGTCTTCAATGCAATAATA